GCCGTCGCGCGTCTCTGCCCTGGCCTCTGGGCCGCTCTGCCTGGCCTCTGGGCAGCTCTGCCTGGCCTGGGCAGCTCTGCCCTGGCCTCTGGGCAGCTCTGCCTGGCCTGGGCAGCTCTGCCCTGGCCTCTGGGCAGCTCTGCCCTGGCCTCCGGGCTGCCAGCACCAGGCTGACAGGGAGCAGTGCCCCAGTCTGAGCTGAGGATGTGCAGCAAAAGCTGAACGTGTGTCAGCGGGGCCCCGGGGGAGCCAAGCACTGCACCCTGAGCTCACACCCCCTGGGCCATCCCCCGGAGCCCAGGCACGGGGAGCAGATCAAGAGAGATCAGCTGTTCCTGACAGCACCCCCAGGAACAAAGGGAGCGGGCTTTGTTTCAAGTCTGATGTTTCTGTGAAAAGCTGTGAGCTGCAGAAATTTCAGTCCTAGGTTCCCAGTAATTCTCCCCCACAAAAGGGAAGGAGCTTGGAGGGGAGCTTAGAGCTACCCAGGTAGTGAAATTAGTATTCAGGCATCCATGGACTGCTGGGAGCAATGCAGAGGGGAGATGCTGGGACCGATACCCTTATCTTGCCTTCCTCCCCTCCCGGTGCTTTGCTAAGGGCAGTGATGATGGCAGTGGCTCCTCGTAGCACAGCACTGTCCCTTTTGTCATTTCTGGGTGGGCCCCACATGTCACTCACTGATGACCCCTCCTGCTCTTTCTCCCGACTGCACAGCAAGGAAGCTGAAGCTCCGGGGGCTGTGGGAATTCACAAGGGCGCAGCACACGGCACAGGGCGTGGATTTGGTACAGAACAGAAGGAAAAGGCAACCAGACCAACCCAACCCTAAAGCTGAAGGAAGGAAAAACACCTCTGGCTTGGTCTTTCCAGGCAGAGACCAGCCAGGGTCGGTTTTGGTTTCATGCAGATAGAGGCGGGTCAGCAGCTCGATCAGAGGATGAGGAGCTCGGGCACCAGCAGCCCCCCAGCACACGTGCACCCCTTCTGTGTGTGTGTGTGTGTGTGTGTGTGTGCACCCCATGGGTGCA